CCATTTCTGCATTTCACATGTATCTCAAACTCATTATCTCTGGGATAGAAAATTTTCATTTTTATTGGACTCTTAAGAGCGAAAAGGGTTCATTCATGGCCGACCTTGTAAGTTATAAAAATTCTTAACAACCTGCCTTGGAAACAAGCCCTTCTGCTTCTATTATCATCCCCAGTTTACAGATGACAGCTCTGGGACAAAGGGATGAGACCAGCCAAGGTCAAACAACTAGGAATTAGATTTGAATCCAGCAAGTCTGCTATCCTATGCTCCCTCTTAACATGCAGATGATCCAGGAAACTTCCAATTAATCATGTCATGTTACAAGATGGGGCCTTACAGATTCACTTCTAAGTTTCCTCCAGAATTCCTATGACAGTTGGTCTCTCTGGCAGTACTGCAGAACAAAAAACACACCTTTGCTTTACGGTAGCCAAGCAAAGAAAACCAGCCATATTAATATGGCCATGACATGCAAAAGACAAAACTCATGTATTGCATGATTCAAATTATAGGTGCCAACATCAACTCCCTGCCCAAGCCAAAAACCTAAATATGATGTGTGATTCTCCTCTGCTCCCATCTTCCCAATGCACTAACTTCCATAGCCTCATGCTGAACGTCAACAAGTCACAAAGAAGGTAAGTTACCTCCTTACCGTCTCTCAAACCCAGGAGGAGCAACCCCATCACTTTCAGGATAGTTTAGCCTCCTCAGCTTCTTAGAAGACTCCTTAACACTGGGCTTCTGCCTCCTTCCTCCCACATCTTCATCACTCTCCTGCAAGTATCCCACAATCCAGCTACATCTGACTTTGCACTGTTCTTGGAGTGTCAGGTTCAGTGCTCCCAATCCTGCCTGAAATGGCCCCCTTTACTCCTTTTTCATAGAACTAACTCCTACTCAGCACAAAGCTTAAGTGAAACATCTCTGATGCCCTATTCTGATTTAGAGGTCTCTCCTTCTTGTTCCCATCACATGAGGTTCAGAATATATCACAAAACTTGAAATTCTTCTGCTACCACTGATTTATTGTCTGAAGCGCAGATTTGATATTTCCATGGGAAAACAGCAGACGATACCCAGTGGGCATTCCGTACATATTTATGCAATGAACAAATAAATGAACGGATGAGCGAAAGGATGAGCAGCCACTCCTCTGTCATTTCATCCTTCAGGTGCTCACTGTTTTTGGATGAACAGGAGGCTTCATTCACTTTTTTACCTTACATTAATTATTACTCTAAGAGTCAGAGAGGCTCCTGTGAAGTCTGGGTTGGGAGAGCTCCCTCTCCTGTGGCTAATTCTTTCTGAGACCACACAGATCACACCACCAAGCTTGGAACCCTTCTTCCTCTTGATCGGGACTGTTTGGGAATACCATTGCAGTGGTGATAAGGTCAGCAATATTTTCCATCCGTGTGAGGGCTCATAAGTATGCATTTGGGCTAAGCCGGCAGGAGAGAGTAGTCCTTGAAAGGACATTAAAAAGTTACAAAGATTTAGTGAAGTCCTCATCTGAAGTGTGTTTTCTTTTTAACGGAGTTTGCATTTAGCTCCTCTCTGCCTCACAGCTGGGCGCCACCTGCTGAGAAAGGTGGACTTCGGAGGTTCGTCCTCTGCAGGTTGTTCTTTTACCATCTTTCTGTTTGCTCTCCCCTCCCCCTACTTTCAACACTTGATCAAAAGCTCAGAGTTACTCCGAAGGGCGAGACCAGGTCAGGAGGAGAGCTTTATGTGCCTGAAAAAGGGAGATGGAGCAGATACATTGCAGACAGTGCCCCCTCTTTTTTGACATTCAGATATTGTCCTGATCGTGCTCTTTGCCTCGGCCCACCTGCTGCCTCTGTGGGATCCTGGCAGGGCAGCCAGACAGTAGCTGAAGCAGTGAAAACACACTCTTCCCAGATCTGACAGTCACCAGCAAAGGAAATTTTTTAAGAGCAAGCTGCAGCCAGTTGGGGGTGGAGATGCCAAAATGACTTTGAGACACTGAGGTCATTCCTAGTCGTCCTTCAGATTTAAACTCAAACTTTGTTTCTCAAGTAATTGGTTAAATTTATAATAGTTCAAGTCTCCTATTTTGTTCTCTCATAGCATTTTATTTCCTTCAGAGGGCTGATCACATTTACATTTTGTTCATTTGTTAATATTAACACCTACCTTCCTGGAGCACATCGTCTCCGCCAAGGAGGGGGGCCATGTTTGCTTTGTCTACCATGGAATCATTACCCAGCCTTACCCTACCACATTTGGGCACTCATTAAATATTTTTTGAATGCATGAATGAATCTTTCCAAATGTATCTAGTTTATTCACCTTATATGTAAGTTTATACTTTAACTTCCTAAATCTGTTTAACAAGGCTTCTCATAAAAGTTAGCCTCTGAGATGGGCAAACTTCAAAAGCTGTGTGTGTGTCTGTGTGTCCATTGTAAAAATGAATATAAAGTGCTAGGAATAAGTGATGTAATGAACTCATTTAAAAACTTATTAAAATGCCACAAGTGAAGGTAGAGTTGCTGGTAATGCTTAGAGTGTCACCAATTTTTGCCCAGTATTCCTGATTAAGAAGTGTCTGATTGATAAAACTCAGAGGCAAAAATACCCAGTGCTATTACCTTATGTTTTTAAAACAGTCACTTTTCTCATTTATTATCCTATTATATCCTTAGAATAAGTCCTATGAGTTAGGAAAGGCAGATCATAGCACTGACTTGCCTAATGTCAATATAGTTTGATATCTGGCAAGATGAAAATGTAGCCTTCAGTCTTCTGACTCTTAAGTAAGAATGCTTTCAGCCTTCCCTATTTAAAAGCATTAGGAGCTAGGTGTGGTGGTGGGCACCTGTAGTCCCAGCTACTCAGGAGGCTGAAGCAGGAGAACTGCTTGAACCCGGGAGGTGGAGGTTGCAGTGGGTCGAGATCACGCCACTGCACTCCAGCCTGGGCGACAGAGGGAGACTCTGTCTCGAAAATAATAATAATAATAAATAAATAATAAAAAAAACACCATTAGGGGGCCGGGCACGGTGGTTCACGCTTGTAAACCCAGCACTCCAAGGGGAGCAGATCACTTGAAGTCAGGAGTTCGAGATCAGCCTGGCCAACATGGTGAAACCCCGTCTCTACTAAAAAATACAAAAATTCAATAATATTAACCATATTCAACTATTTTAATAATGAAAGACAAACCAAAAGCCTGAAGATATTTGCAACATATAAAATCGACAAAGGATCAGTATGTAGAATGTATCAATAATCAATTAACAATGAAAGAAAGAATGAAAGCAAAAGCAGGCAAGAGAGGTGAACAAGCATTTAAGGTTTTGAATTTTTTGGCCATCTATATTTTCATAGAAGAGAAAACATGAATGGCTAATAACCATATGAAAAGACATTAATGAAGAAAATGGGAATTATAATCACAGCTACACATAAGTACATATTCACCAAACTAGCAAAAATTCAAAAGTCAGAGAGACAGCTGTAAAATGGTAGGAATCCTCGCCTCCTAGTGGATGCAACAGCAGGTGGCCATGCCACCCAAGGCAGAAAATATCCTGTGACCCAGCCATTCCTGTGGGTTACCTATCTATTGACTGTTCAACATACAGATTATTTTAACAACAGAAAGTAATCTTACTATGTGTTATTGTGTGATAAGACCTGCTTCTTAAAGCCCTAATAGATAATTATAAACACCCATTTCATTAAGAGTTAGTTATCACATGGAAACAGAATAATGTATCAACTAAGCCCCTACTCTTGACCATTTAGATTATTTCAATTTTTTTTTTTGCTAATACTAGCAAACATAATACTCTGGTTTCTCTTCAGAGTGTATAAATCTTTCCCCTTTTACTAATACTAGCAAATTTACATTTATACAAATGTAAGTATTAAAATGTGATAAATACCCTTGCAGGTGAATATTTGTATATATTTCTGATTATTTAAGATAAATTCTTATAAGTAGTTTAATGGTAGACATGTTTAATGTAGATTATTTTGCATCAAATTGTCCTCCCTAAAATATTACTAATTTATACAGCAGTATATATTTCCTACAGCCTTCCCAACACTATTAAAAACATAAGTTTTGCCAAATTTATAGGTGAAAACCTGTCCACTAAATTTTTAATTTGCACTGATTTAAGTAATAGTGAAGCTGGACATTTTTTGTTTATTCTTTTACTTTGCACATGGTTTACTCATTTAATTCTCTGCCCATTTTTCTACAAAAGTGTTTAAATTTTCTTAATGACACAGTAGAGTTCTTAATATATTCAGGATACTATTCCTTTCTCTGCCAAACACATTAAACTTAATCATTTATTTATCCTTTGGTTTTGTTTCTATTTGCTTAACTGAAGTATTTATTTCCATTTTTACATAGTCAAATAAATCTTCTCCTTTCTGGTTCATCTGGTTCATTCTCAGATGTATCCTTTTTCTTTTTTTTTGAGATGGAGTCTCACTTCTGTTGCCCAGGCTAGAGTTCAGTGGTGCAATGTTGGCTCACTGCAACTTCTGCCTCCCAGGTTGAAATGACTCTCCTGCCTCCCAAGTATGGGATTACAGGCGTGCACCAACATGCCCATCTAATTTTTGTATTTTCAGTAGAGATGGGTGGAATTAACTCATCTCCCTCTTATCCCTCCTACAATAAAAATCTCTCATCCAAAGAAGGGTAATAGCATCTTTCTGAAAGGGTCACTGTGAACATTAATTAATGTAACTTATACTAATGTGCTTGATAGCTAGTAAAGCAATATATGAATGTCAATCATTAGCAGCCCCTCAATAAATCAGAGTTATTGACATCACATGCAGAGATTGTATGCACTTGAGCTGATACACTTGGGGATAACAGTCTAGAAGGTCAAATGTACTATACGAAGGAGACACTAATATGAACTTTCATTTCACATCCTTTCACAAGTTCAGGAGTATAAAGCAGTCACTAGAAAGGCCACAGACAATGAGGGCTCTCTTACCTTACTTAATCTTCCCCTTCCTCCGCCAACTCTGTTTCTTTGTGTACCACCACTCTTGTGACCGACATGTCAGGGTGCTGCTCTCTGGCTTCCCTGATCGCCTGAGCCAGTGCCTGCCAGGGTCAGGACAGAGAACGGATGTGAGCTGGGGAACAGCCTCCACCTCACGATGGCAAAACATACGCACACTGATCACCTCGGACCCAACCTCAAGCCAAGAGGCACTCACTTCTTTATTTGAGGAAGCAGGAATTTTTGAAATGGGCTCACTGTCATTTTATAGACTACTTCTCATTTCCTAAATCTCCCCATTCTCCAGTCCACTTTCAAACAATGACACGTGGAGGAAACATGTTGGCTTTGAATCCCAGGCTTATTATACTCACTGTGAGATTTGCAGAAAACAGTTCTTTGGAGTTTAGTGTTCTTACCTGTATGTAACCCGAGACCAATGCTGAGTTGTAACGATCATTTTAAGGTTTTCTGTGTGAACTGAAGTAATGCTGTAAAGCATAGTGCCTGATCTAGACATTCAGGTGATACTAGCTATCACCCAATTGCCTGAAACCGCAAGGCACAGGACCAGGCCTTCCTCATCTTTATCCTCTTAGGCTCTCGGTAATTGTTTGAACTAAAATGTTTGCTGAACTAAACGACTGCAGGAAAGATGTCTATAAACCTCTAAGACACAGAACTAAAGAGCAGTAGCAACAACATCCAATTAGCAAAGCTAAAGAACAGAGACTGACTAATCAGGTTATAAAATACAGGTCCCTATTTGATAGTTGACAAAACTGCAGGCACAAAGATTAATGGGTTTCTCAAGGCCATCCAGCCTGTGAGCAGTAGGACAGGAGCAGGGAGGACGCAGAGGACTGACTCCAGTGGTTCGTGGTTCCTTCCTTGGACCACGTGGTAAGAAAGCAAAGTTTCTCTGCATTTTATCAGAAAGTAAACTATAAAAGTATTGCAGCACAATGGAAAGATCCTATTTTTCAGAGGAGGTAAATGCCTTTCTTAATTATTACTCATTTTGTTTTTAAAAGCATGGGTGAAAAAACAAAACACCAGAGAACAACCCTCAGAGTCTAGGAAAGAATTCTAAAGGCCAGGTGCAGTGGCTCAGGCCTGTAATCCCAGCACTTTGGGACGCCGAGGTGGGCGGATCACTTGAGGCCAGAAGTTCGAAACCAGCCTGGTCAACATGGTGAAACCCAGTTTCTACTAAAAACACCAGGCTTGGCTGGCACACGCCTGTAATCCCAGCTTGGGTGGCTGAAGCAGGAGAATTGCCTGAATCGGGAGGTGGAGGCTGCAGTGAGCCAAGATTGTGCCACTGCACTCCTGCCTGGGCAACAGAGTAAGACTTTGTCTCAAAAAAAGAAAAGTCTAGGAAAGAATGCTAAAACAAAGAGAAAATTTTACTAGGACAGAGAATACCATATCTCATAAGGAAACCGCATTTGAAAAAAAGCCGTGCAATTTTTCTTTTGCTGTCACCTGCCTAAGGGGATAACTGCATTTCTTGTTTGCATGATAGTTTCTGTCAGCTGTAAGGACACCAAGCAGAAACCCTAAGCCTCGTTTCATTGAAAAAAAAAAAAAGTAAAGCTATCAGCAAAAAAAAAAAGACATCATTTTTATACCACAAAACTTTTGCACAGAAACTTGGAAGACACTTGAGGGTGCTTAAATTTCCACCAGGGAAGAAATGCTTGTGAACTACCTGTGTTGTGACGAGAGAGAAATGAGACACGGAACCAGCCTCCAATCTGAGCAGTAGCAGAAGTGTTTGTCAAGGAGGGAGAGTGAATGGCTGGAGGGCTAGCGTGGAGCGGGAGCAGGAGCAGGTATCTAGTTCCAGGGAAGGGCAGGGAAGCTTTTCAGCGTGTTGACTGGAATGGGAAAAGGGAAGGGAGAGGAAGCACAGGGGTGTAGTTCTACATTTTTTGTGTGTGTGTGTGTGTGTGTGTGTGTCTTCAGAGAGAAGGAGATTGGAATGATCCAACCCATTTACTACATTTTGGTTTGTGCAGTACACACCGGGAAAAGTCAAAGACAAGGACAAGCTCTGATGGAAGCCAAGTGTAGCTACAGACAAATGGTCAAACACTTTTGAGTATCTGGTCTACCAAGATCTGCCTACAATAAACCAGGGCAATTGTTAAAGAGAAAATGTAGATGATGCCCAAGGGAAGGCAACATATATGAAACACCCTCTTAATTCACAAAAAGGTTGGGAAAAGCAAAAACTGCTACAGTCATCTTGAAACACAATCAAAATCACTTTGTTAAAACTCCTTTCATTCCATAATATCGGCACACAAAATAAAATACTGTAAAATGTCATTATGGCAATAATAAGGATTACGAGAAAACATCACATCTTATTGCCAAATTGAGAAATTACTTCTTAGAAAGAAACACACTCTGAAGAGCAACTGCAGTGTAGATTACCCCTCCCTGGTATGGAGCTAAAGTGTCACGACCAGCACAGGGTGAAGAATCTGCAAAGCAAGTTTCTATAAAAGCATGCCTCTTTGATTTGCCAACACAAAAAAGATTTCTTGTTTTCTGTCTGGCCCAGTGAAAGTGTCCTTCCATTTTAAGATTCCTTTTTTTTTTTTAAGACAGAGTCTCGGTCTGTCACCCAGGCTGGAGTGCAGTGGTGCGATCTCGGCTCACTGTAAGCTCTGCCTCCCGGGTTCCCGCCATCCTCCTGCCTCAGCCTCCCGAGTAGCTGGGACCACAGGCGCCGCCACCTCGCCTGGCATTTTTTTTTGTTTTTAGTAGAGACGGGGTTTCACCGTGTTAGCCAGGATGGTCTCCATCTCCTGACCTCGTGATCTGCCCGCCTTGGCCTCCCAAAGTGCTGAGATTACAGGTGAGAGCCACTGCGCCTGGCCTTAAGATTCCTTTTAATGTAGGCAAGGAAATGAAAAAAATGTCAATGTTATGAAGGTCCCTATATGATCAACATCGGATTTTGACAGGAAAGTGATTTCATCATTTAATTTTAAGTAGCTCTGTCATCTCATTACAGACTCTAAGGAGAAAGTAAACCCACAACAGCTTCTGGTGACAAGCATACCGAAAGCCACAGTCACATTTACTCAAAAATGTTGGCCAGATGTGGTGGCTCACACCTGTAATCCCAGCACTTTGGGAGGCCGAGGTGGGTGGATCACCTGAGGTCAGGAGTTCAAGACCAGCCTGGCCAACATGGTGAAACCTCATCTCCACTAAAAATACAAAAATTAGCCGGGCGTGGTGGTGCGTGCCTATAGTCTCAGTTACTCAGGAGGTTGAGGCAGGACAATCACTTGAACCCAGGAGGCAGAGGCTGCAGTGAGCTGAGATCGTGCCATTGCACTCCAGCCTAGGCACCAGAGGGAGACTCCATCTCCAAAAAAAAATAATAATAATAAAAGTTTATGGTATCTCACAAACATAAAAAGGCGAAATTTCTGTTCTCTTCATTTGGATATCTGACCTCAGTTTTAGAAAGGGCTGAAACATGACATCATATACAAAAAAGGAGATTCCCGTCCTTGTAGCAACAGCAATTAAGGCTGCAGAGTCATCATGGTTTTTAAAGAGTTAGGTGTACGTGTTATTTTGGCACTTGTATTTCAGATTGTGTTTTTAATATTTGTCTTTCAGAAGCAATACTATCTAGATTTGAATTTTTTGATAAAACAGGCCAAAATATTCTTTTGCCTTTTATAACAAAATTATTTTGCCTTTTGTTATAAAAGGCAAAAGAATACACATAAGTAAAACCTAAGTACTGGAAAGGTGGCATTTTAAAGTGTGTAAAGGGCCTAGGTTCAGTGGGGAGAGGGGGTAGAAGAAACAACGGCTGGGAGAAGACCCTAGTTTGCACTTTCCACCATGCCAAAGTATGCGGGCTTGTGCCTCACATATTCTAGGAATTCAATGAGTGCTTATTGAGAAAAGTCCCAGAGAGAAAGCAGCAGGTTTGCTCCAATTTCAGGTCAGGCGAAACTCAAGACTGCTCCAGTGGACGGTAGAATAAACCCCCTCTGGAAAACTGGAGGCTTGATTCCACATAAGTCACTCATTTTCCCACGGTAAGCAGACAAGTGTACTAATACTCTCTAGGAATCTCCAGTCCTATGCCAAAATCCAGAGTCAAGGCAACCTTTTAACATCTAATAACTCTTAAGAAAAATTTAACAGCACATTACGAATATGTAAGTCAAATCATGCTTACAAAGTCAAAAAAATTGGGAGTAATTTTCTTCTTAGGCATGAAAAAATCCATTTATCTCTGATCACATATAGGCAGCCTTTCTCAAGTGACGAATTCTGTTCTCTAAAATGTTCTTTCCTGAGCTCAGTATTGTGTCCAAAGCTGTGTAACTATCGTTAGCTCCTACTTCCCAGCTGAGATGTCAACTGAATATTTCTTTTCCTTTTCTTCAAGTTGTTATAAAAGGAAAACAGCTTGGTCTCCTTTAAAGCTGAGTTAAAATCACTTTTAAAAAAATTCTCAGCATCACTTGGGACTGCAGTCTAAAATTAAAACTGCTCTCAAAGTCCCCAGCAGTTCCATTCATCACCTGCTCAAAGCCACGCATGCCGCCAAATTTAACATTAGAATGGAGGCATGATTCTTTTAAAAAATTTTCAGATTCAATGTAAATTTTCACCTTGTAAGAAACCTTATATTACCTCCCCTCCTCCAATAATTGCAATAGAAGAAAATACCTGGAAGTAAATAGCTTAACTTTTCTAATGCCATAAACATACTTGAAAAGTTCCTAAAAGTAGGCATAGGTCAAGCTTAGTGGCTTTCTTCATTTTTTGGAAGCCAGTGCATTGAACTGCCATTCATTTTAAAATATTTGATCACTTGCCTTTAAACCAGGCCCACATGAATCTAATGTTTTCCAGAAATCCTCCAGATTACTTCGACCCAAAAGTGCACGTAAAGCCAGTGGGAAATAAAGAGAAATCTGTGTTTTATGCTGACCCAGAGGTAGGAAAGCTTGTGTCCAGGCTGTGTCTTTCCGTCCTGCTTAGGAGGTGGACTTCATCTACTAGGTACTGGGAGAAGAGGTTGACACAGGTATGCGACATGATGACACATGTGAAACTTAGAAAACAAACATGGTCATTTCCAGAACTATAACTTAAATTATTTACCTGGTCATGATCAATATCTGCATCTCCTGTGATCACAATGCGTTTCTCAATTCTTGTTTCAGAAATTCCACCTTTTACAGTCTAAAGGTCATAAATGAGAAGAAGAAAAAACAGCAATCACTAAAGCACGTTTACACAGAGCAAACAGAGATGGAGTCCACCTAGACCTGTTGATCATCGTAAGGCCACACACACACCAAGCAGCGGAAGATTGATATTCTAGAAACACTCTGAGCTTTATTTTTAAGCTCAACAGAGAATCCTATTACTAAAGTTATAGCATCCACAAGTATCCCTCAACTGAGAGCAACCTTAAAACTAATTTACCAATATTCAAGATGGCATCTGTCCCATCTTAATCTCACTTAAAATAGGACAGATATTATTTAATCCAAGTAGCTCCTTTAGGGCATTCTGTTATAATTTCCCCAGTTTCTTTATTCCTAGCTGGCCAATTTTTAAAAACGAGAGTAGGGAGAAATCAGTTATCTGCAGAATTACAAGAAATTGTAAGAATTTAGGTATCTGTTTTCGGTTTGATAAATTGTTTGATGTGATATATATTTTTTTCCCCATCACAGAAGACTTCCGTATGATGTGATGGTTTTGACTGACGGATTCTGAGCATACAAATTCAGTTGCTGATTTTGTTCTTTTCATTTGGTGCAATAATTTTAAAAAGGATTTGCTTTGGTTTAAGATATGGGTGAGATTTTTGTTGAATGTTTGATTTGATGACACCCTGCATAAGTAGTCGTGCACGTGGACATGGCACATGGCTGGACAAAGGCTGAGGACCAGGCTGGAGAAGGGAGCTCCTGGGGGAACTGCCTCACAGTGTTATGGGCTCCCTGCAAGCTGAGAGTGCCTGAGGCACACTGGATGAGGCTGAGGAGATCATCTGGCTGTGACCTTCTAAATAGTCAATAAGCAAATACCACACTGTCCTGGGAAAGCACACATCCAACCTTTAAAACTGTGATAAATGTATACTCTCAGTCACAAATGACGGCATTTTACTGTAAGAAACAAGGCTTATCACTAGGCTTAATAACTGGATATGCTTTAAAGTGAGCACCAACGGTACCTTGCATTTATGTGGCATTTTAAAATTTACAAATTACTTTTGCTGTTTTTTAAATTGTCGTGGAAACATGGATTGGGAAGGGCACAAGGGATACCTTTAAGACCTTTAGACATTTATCCAAAGTAAAAAACTGAAGCGGAAGGAAATAATGGAAAACAAGGCTGGAGTTAGCAATCTGATGACTTCAGCATGCATCAGAATCACCTGGAAGCTTCTTAAGACACTTCCAAGGTTTCAGCAGGACTGGAGAGGGGCCATGCTATTTATACTTCTAACAATGCTCCGGGTGAAGCTGATGCTGCTGATCCAGGGAACACTGGTCACCCAGTGCTAAACATTTAGAGAATTATGCAGGGAGGGAGGGGGAATGCCCCAAATCAGCATACTAGCAATCTTAAATGAGGGAAATTCAACATTATCTGAACAACTTGCTGAAAATTCTGAATGATGGCCTTCATTCACTCGCTAGTCAGGAAGGCTGGTTTAATAAAAGTAGAAGCACAAGTTTGTTTTTATAAATTATAAATTTTATTAAATTATTTATGCTTTTGTAGCTATCTCACATACAGTTATTCATAACATATTTTTACCCCCTTGTACTTTACAAAATTGCAATTTGGTTTGAATGCATTTGTCAACGGAGCCCAATTTCTTGGATACTTTAAACCAAGGCATTTTTATTCCACTGGCACTGTCTGTATCTTACTTGGAAGTGTGTATAGGAACAGAGAAACAATTCAGAAAAGATTCTGTCTGTAATGTACCATCCTCTCCATATGATCCCCTGCATTGTTTTACCTTAGTGATGTGTGTGGTTGTCGTTGTTGACACCGACTCAGATGTGATGGTTTGTGCAGTCAGTAACGTGCCCGAATCACCACCAGCCCCGCCATCAATCTTTGGATAGTTGGGGGAAAAATACAAAGTAATGCTTAACTTCCATTATGTTGTCAGAGAAGACCCCACCCCATCGAATATGCATCTTTTAAAATCTATGTGGTTTGCGTGTTTGCAGTGGTAATTTACCGTCCACGAGAGCAGTTGGTATTTAAAACCAAGTAGAGGCAAAAGACTAGGTGCACATGGAGAAGCAAACTCAACTGTGTGAGTGGAGAAAAGAGAGGAGAATGGACATAGGAGGTGGGACTGAAAGCTACAAGGGAATTATGACAGAATTTATCTGAAGGACATTTGCAGAAGCTAGAAAATTAAACTAGAGAGCCAGGCAGAGAAGTTTCCACAGTGACCAGAAGCACTGAGTTTGTTGTTTTTTAAGCACAGGTGGGTAAAAATAGATAAACATTTTATCAGATTACCAAGCAACAGAACCTGACTAGGACAGACTGAACCTGCATGATTTGGTTATCTGCTTACCTCTAGCAGATTGTTTTTATCAACTACATTGTTCCTGTAATAGTTTGTATGTTGTGAGCATATATATAGGCAAATATTTCAATATTACACATACACATGTGCTCTCTACATATATATAAATCCCATACATATGTTAAAATAGATTTTAACTTGTTTGCTTTGATATTGAAAGATGCAGAAGATTTTAGAGTTTCCAAGGGGAAACAATGAAGCAAATTAATAGCCTAATAGTTTATGTTAAGATCACGAAACATATTTGCCTTCTGTTTCCTGTCACTGACACAAGGAAATAACTGGACGGTCCAGAGCCTTTCTGACTGTAAGAGGAAACTTCTTTCAAACTTGGGTCATGCACCTGTATTTCTTCATTCTGGCAACTTACCACAATACAGACACATGACTATTGCTCCCCCGCCGCAGCCGTTCATAAGAAACCTGTTGTGCTTATGTGGGATCAATGCACACACAGGGATGCCATACCCAAAATAATTTTCAGACAAGATTCACACATGCATGCATTAAACCTTTTAAAAAATACTCTGAGAGGTCAAGAACCTGACATCCTCCACCATGATACAATTCTACCACAGAAGGTTCATCTTCTCAGTGGAGAAAATGTTTATTTTATATTCTATTTTGAAATGATGCTTTCTCTTTTTTTTTTTTTTTGTTATTCTGAAGCTTAAACATCTTAATGCTTATTCTAAAACTTTACAGAACCAACGTGTGAAAACCTAACATCAAACACACAGATCTGATAATTATTTAGACACATGGTATCATCATTCACATATGAATGACTACATAGGGTCTTTAGAAAATAATTCCACATGAAAGAGAAACACAGGGGTGTGTGTGTGTGTGTGTGTGTGTGTTATTACAAGTAAGAATGAGTTGATTGCGTTGATCTTCATGGAGTTACAGAGGGAAAGAAGCCTAAATCACATCCACAATTAGATCCAATTATTAATTGATGAATTATATCAGCTAAACTTTGCAAGACAATTTGTTTCCTAAGTGTGCACAAACATTCTTGGATATGTCAACCCAGAAATGGCTTTCAATAATATGAACAAGACTGACACTGTCTGTCCTAAATAATGATATATACAGTTCCCCTATAATTACTGGGTTACCAATTTAATTGCAGCTCTTTGTCTCACTCTAAGAGAGAAACACAGCAAATTATGTTGTTGAAGCACAGTTACAAAGTAGAGATCCAAAAAGCTACATCAAAGCCAGAAACATGTAAACTAAGAGAAGAAAGAATGAAAACACAGCCACACTAAGTGAAAAAAGAGCTTGAACAGTCCAAGTCTAGAGCTTTTGTACCTGTGGAGACTCATATGTGATGGTTTTGGTCTCAGTTTGGACAATGGGGACTTCCTTGGTGGAGATTTCTGTCCTTTGTGAGGCATCAGAAATTGTTACCATCTCTGTTTTTACCACTGGTGGCTGAGGTGGAAAAGGAAGGGAAAAATAAATTCTAGAGGTAATAAAGTAAAAGTGTTTAATGGAACCTTCACAAATAATTGTAAGAAACATATCCAAACACACACTCATGCACAAAAGAGCAAAAACAAACAATCTAAAACAAACAAAAGAAATAAAAGAAACATTTTCCTTCAAATATATCATATGTACACATACATACATGTGTACACAGATATGTACATACATATGAATGTGTGTATGTGTATATACACATACATGAAAAATAAGTTGACATGACGGCTTCCTTTACTATGTTACTCTTTAAGATGGTCCCAAACTACTTATATGTCAAGCCTAGTGTATAGTCACACACATACACACACACACACACACACACGCTCTCTCTCTCTCCTTGGCTTTGGGCCAGTAACAATAAATTGAAAAGAAAATAGAATGAACTATGTGAAGTGACCTGTCTCTATTTTTATCATAGTTTAAAGGACCACATAGTTTGTGTGAAGGCTCACTGCTTTTAACTGGCATGCCAGCTAGGTAGGCTAAGATTTGTTCTTCTGCCCACAATGCCTTTTCTGCCTTATTGTTAACAGACACACCATTTTCAGAAAGGATGTCTTCAAGTATTACTGTTTTCAATTATACTTGTCTAAAACTTGCAGTGTTTCCTCTGTATTACCTAAGTTACAATGCTCTATCTAAAATTACTCCATCAATGTTACACCAATGCTTCGAACAATTTAAAACATTAAAGGAAATATTCAACGGCTTATTAACGTTGTAGCCTGCCGGGTATGCATGTTTAATATTAATGCAACACCAGACTATATTACTACCAAAATACTGCAGTACTTTCTTTGAGAGAACATTCTCAACAGGCATAATTATTTCAAGAGGAGTAACAATATGTTAAATACGGAATAGTTCAAAGTGTTCAAAGACTCTTGAAAAATCTTCTCTAAAGTGAAACAGAAGTTTAAAAGTAACATGGTTAAAATCCACTTGGTTATTTTAAGACAAAGTCACTTCAACATTTTCCATCCCATCGAAGAGAACAAAGTAAATCTCTGTACTGTGGGCATTTAATATTAAAATCAAGAAATATTGCCAAGGAAATAAACCCTCCCTCAGCCTAACTCCCAAATGAGAGACACTGCACCTAGTGACCAAGGCTTAATCTAAGAAAAGTCTGAAAAGTTCTCTTCTTTGAAGAGAAAAGAAAAAGATTCATATCTAATGTATAGATAATCCACAAAACATATAATCATCTGGCAAATATTCCAGAATTGGCATTAGGACAGAATGAGAAGAGAGGATATCCTCCTATCAAATAGCCTAGCCTCTGGCTGCCTGGAAGGAAAGAAAGGCTCTTAACAAAACCACACAACCCCTGGAATCCCACAATAGAAATCACAGTGGCATTCAAGAAATAACATTCTCATCACTGCTGGATACTGCATTCAGAGAACCACGGTAATCAGAGCCTGCTGTCATTTCTAAAACTCTGAAGTTGAAGAGTAAAAGAATGAGCCAAGAAGTCAAACCCAATCATGACATCAGGGGCACACGCACTCAGCACTGAACATTTTTTTTTCAACATTACATATACATTTTTCTAATTAAACCAAAAGGGGGAAAAAAAGGCATTTAGTGTGAGGAAGCAGTGCAACTAAAGACAAAACAGTTGGAAACACCCAAAACATGCAAAGAAAAATTTAAATGTGAAAAGGGAAGGAAAAATTGATGTGGTGCTTGTAGGAAAGTTTACCCTACAGGTGTCCAGTGGCAGCAGAGAAGCTGGAACCCATGAACTGAGCTGGCAGAAAATCCACAAAGCAGTGCTTTCCCCCTTCCTCCCGTGAGAGAGAAAAATGAGATTCTTGTTGAAAAAAGCTGAAGAACTGGGAGGACAGGAGAAGAAAGGCAGGAGTTCCCCACCTGAGAAGCAGCTCTAGAGTTTGGCTCCCACCTGGAACTCCCATTTACCTCTGAACAACAAATAATTTGTGGCAAAACATCAATGTCAACATGGGACACCTCTCCGTTAACTTTCTGTGGCTCTTCCTCTGCTTCTTCTCCCATGTCTTGCTTAAGAGCGCCTTCGTGTACACTCTTCTCTCCAGGTATCTTTTGGGCACCTACATTTTCCTGGATCACTGTTTCTACTGTGATTACACTGGCACCTGCTTGTGTGACTGGGCTGGCTTCGGGCACTGCTTCCTCCCTCTCTACTACCTTGGCTGCTGGGCGGGGTTCTTCCTCCACCTCTTCTTCAAACTCCTGTTCCTCCCTGATGGTGCCCTCGGTCACTCGGTGGTGGGGACGGTACTCTCCCACGTCTTCCTCCTCACTCTCACTGCTGCTGCTGCTGCTCTCAGAAGACAGGGAGGTGGAGTCTTTTTGTGTCACAGGCTCCACCTTACGAATCTCCCCAGGACCACTCCCAGGTGATATCTCTTTACCATTCATTTCTTCTGTGATTACTCTTTCGTCTTTCCCAACCTCTGCCCGCTTCTTCTCCTCCACTATATTCAGAGTCTCATGTGAACTCTGTACAAAAAAAGATGGACGAGGGAAAACAAAAATATATGAATAAATAAAAACAACGGAAACCCAAATTAACCGATGGCAGATTCATGTCATGGAGAAAAACAAAGATGATTATGATAGCTGACTGAAAGGGAAGCGGGGCAAACGTGAGGGCAATGAGAAACGTGAGGCGATGGTGTTAACATGGAAAAAGGGGAGAACCTTAACAGCATCCCTGGCTCCAGTGCAAGGCCCTTCTGACTCAGGAGCACGTGTCTGCGGAACAAGAAGCAACCAAGGACACAAAATCAATACAGTTTTACCTCAACAACCACTGAAACAAACATCTGACACTGCAAAGACAAAACAGCAAGAATCAACATCTACAGAAACCTGCTCAAGGTCACATAGAGGACAATCAAGACAAATGCCAAAGGGCTTACAAAAAGACACAAAAACAGCCAGCATCCTCCCAAAGAAGTAAAATGCTTTTATTGTACATATACCTATATAAGCTCTACCTATGTAGTTAAAACAGTTTACAAAAATTGAATTATACCAAAGCTGACTCATCATTTTAAAGAAAAAAATGTAACTTTTAAAACCTAGTCAACAGTTTTGGTTTTAATCAGACTGTAAAGTCTAGTCTGGAACCCTGATTCTTAAATGAACATAGCACCAAGGAGATGGCACTTTTATTTTTTGCTGGTTTTCTTTAAAAAAAAAAAAGTTTTAATTGGCAAAATTATAGTTGGCCTCAGAAGGCTACTAATGTGAAAATGTTCATTTCAGAAATGGTTATTAACATTCCAATTCGTATCATAGGTCAGCAAAGGCTACATTATACAATAGGGTGGATGTCAATGGCGGCTCCAAGCGTTTTTTCTTACAATTTAGCTCCTCTACTAGCATCTTTGAAATCTAAAATGAGTCAAGTTTATTATTTGACATGTTCACTCCTATCTCCGCAGACATCTACTTCTTGGGAGTAAATTAATTTACCCCAGTTGAGTAACATAGTACCTAAATGTTCAATAAATATCTGTTGACTGAATACATTAGTAACAAATTACTATGTTATGGTATTATTAACTAGAGTGGAAACCTTTTTGTACAGAGGAGTTTTTAAAGCTTCACATTTTTCTCACACAAAAAGTTTGCTTTACAATGATACAACTCAAGCATGGCCAACTTTTTGACTTCTAGGTGGTCCTATTGCCTATGATCTAACTTAAAAATAATTCGGCTAGAGCCCGGAGCCCTGTTTATTCATGAAAGTGACTCCATTCTGGATGGAGAAGGGCACCGCACCACTGAGCCCTCTGGATATTGTTGTGAAGTTGCCAAGGTACTAACTGGACTGGAGCCTATAACAGATAGCAGGGCTGTGTTCATCTGTCCCAGACACATGGACACCATGAGCTGAAGATCCTAACATCACACACACACGTCTCTGCAGCACTGTCAACATCTACTCACAAACTCTCTTGGACCTGCCCTATTATTCTTAAACACATGGTAAGGGCATGCTTTCATTGATCCAAATTAATACCATGTAAATCACATTACTAACAGAAGACAGTTATCGTTCCAGTTTTATTGAAAACTCAAGAGGTTTTTAGATATTAAACTAAAAAAACTCTCAATCTATTTTGATAAACAGGTAACGTTTAACCGTGACTACATATAATAAAGATATCCAGTGACCAGAACATTTCTGAAACACACATTTCATTATTATTACAGGTCAGTGAATTCCTATTACTGTTATATTTTAACCTCAATGGGCTGGATAGGTTCTGCCCAAGTTCAGGGAATTCCTTAGGGTCATTCAAAAACAATTATCTCATGGTGCGTGGGAGGCACTTCAGATTTTTCCATATAAACAGAATTTTAAAAATAACACGCCATCAGAGGATGCCTGAAATTTGGGGTTTTGAAAATGTCAACTCTGCAAAGCATACTTGGTTTCTATCTTGTTGAGGGTTTCCCTCTGCTTAACAGCTCAGACTCTGGAACTTAATGATTTAAATTATTCTCTGAATTTAGGCAGATTTTTTTTTTATTTGACCAAAGAAGCAGGAGAAACATCCAATCTATATCTTTTCTTCATGTTCCAAATCAGTCATTGTTTCTTGAATGTTTCTCCCAGGAAGAATTAATTTCACCAATGAAAGCACTGGAGGGAATGGTGCCTGAATATTTAAAAAATGAAAATCTCTCTCATATGTGGCTTTTAGTAACAGGGGAAACAAAGTAAAATGCACCTCAAGCAAGTGTGAGAAGGGCGAGGAAGAAAGCTTTTCAGAAGGTGCATTAGCGCTCACAACAGCGCCCTCTGCTGTCCAAGTGGTGGCTGAAGTGAAGGTGGCTTTCATGCTATCAGAAAAGCCCTTTTCACTAAACAAAATTGATGTTATCTCCTCTTCTAGGCTCTAGAGAGGTCAGAAAAGGAAGAGCAAAGAATTAGCAATAAGTCAGAACAGACAGCAGTGACCTATTGAAAGAAAGGAAAGGTTACACAAGAAAGAACAACAGAACAGCATAAAATGAAAGAAAGATGAGAATTCTGATAGATTCTGCAGCAGGCTTATGCAGAGGTTTGTGAGCGCCAGCTTTTCCACCCTGCTTGAGAATCTTTGATAGTTGCGACCTACAGAAACCAGGGAAAATTGCTTGGTTGATCAACAACTGAGCACAACCGACCCACCCAAACGCCATTTCACATATTCTTGAGGTAGTTCCTTGGCCTTTTTCTGCACGGAATGGCCTCTTCAGTGGCCCCTACACTTGAAATGCTTATTCTTGTGTTAGAGCTTGGGCAGTCCTCCCTCTCCTGCCTCCAAGACCCTTCTTTGCCCTTCTCTGCACACTCTGGTCCTTTCCAGTTTTCTAACCTCCCTGAGGCCCACTTCATAGTCTGTACTTTCTGTAAGGCCTTTCTTACCACTCCAGCTCCTACAATCTCCTCCCTCCTCCATACCACCTTAACTCTCTGTACAACAAACATTCTGACAGCGGACCACATTCATTCCCTCAGGCATGCTAAATATGCCACAGAATAAATTACCCTGCCCCTTTTTTTTTGCAAAAAGAAACAGGTAAAGAAAAACAATTCAAAACAGGAAGACAAACTCAGTGTTGAAAGCTCAACGAGCAACGTGAAAATTATTTCTCCCTAAAAACGATGAAAGCAAATTTAACTTTGCTGTGTCTGGCTCTTAAACAATGGCTCCTAACCTGCCTGAGGGACAACTGTCCTCAGAAACTTGAAGTGTCAGTACTCAAGAGTCACCATGAAGTCCCTCATGTCAGAAGTGTGAGAATAACTCCCAATAAACCCCACTATTCAGAAATTTTTTTTTTTTTTTTTTTTGGAGACAGAGTCTCGCTCTGTTGCTCAGGCTGCAGTGCAGTGAAGTGATCTCGGCTCACGGCAAGCTCTACCACCCAGGTTTAAGTGATTTTCCTGCCTCAGCCTCCCCAGTAGCTGGGATTATCAGGCATGAGGCACCACACCCAGCTTATTTTTGTATTTTTAGTAAAGACGGGGTTTTGCCATGTTGGCCAGGCTGGTCTCAAACTCCTGACTTCAGGTGATCTACCCTCTTCGGCCTCCCAAAGTGCTGGGAATACAGGTGTGAGCCACCGCATCCAGCCACTATTTAGAAATCTTAAAGAAAAATCAATGACACTCCAGAGGGGTCCTCTCATACTGTAAGCTAAGAAGGGTGAGGAGTGCAGACAGTCAGGTGAGGAGAGTGAGGTGAGTAGGCATTTGCAATATTCAGCAGAGAAAAAAGCTTCTGGACTGATTTAGCTTCATTACCATCTCTATGATTACACCATCCCTAGGGGAAGTGGGGATGGGTGGGGTGCCCTTCCCAGTGAGAGATCACTGGTGAGCTTAAAGAAATGCCACACATTTCATTATTCAATGCTATACCTTCAAAAGTACCTTACAACTCAATGTATAAAAATCTCTTAGACTCAGGAGAAAATAGTCTATGTAAATTTAAGTCATCATAATTTGTACAACACGTTAAGAGGATTACAAGAGTTTTTGTTTTTATCAAAGTATTTTATTTAGTCTATTTTTTTTTCACCAGACCAAGTCTATTATCTAGTGACACAGACACAAATTAGAACCAAAGGTAAATATTTTACAAAACTCCATTCTTAAGCTGTTTATGTTTTTGCCCTAAATATCATGCTTTCCCATAGGTATGTTCAGAGTTCAACACAAGCTCTGGTCTGCCAACTGTAACTTCACTCCATTCTCATATCAGATTATAAGTGAATAGTGACAATCCTATCAATGGGTATAACTACCAATGCACTTCAGTTTATAAACAATTCACTAACCAGGTAAAAGCTTTAAGAAATTTACAATAGTTATTTACCCATCAAAGATTAAATGACTTGGTTTCCAATTTTCTGCTCTACTCTCAAAATTGTTCAAATTCAAACCACAGCCACTTTGGAAATTCAATTTTTTTTTTTTTAAAGAAACTATTAATGCTTTTTAAAAAAAACTATAAAAATCCATATTATAGAAATTTGGAAAAACTGTCAAATTATATACTTATGCATAATTTTTTAAATTTTACTTTCAGTAAGAATTACAATTCAAAGATAAAGGAGAACTCCTGCAGAATTAACAGTAAAATGAAGATATGACAAAGACAGAAATTGAAAAGGTACTCCAGTAAAGTCAAAACACTCCGGTAGACAAATGCTCATATACTTTCAACTAATAGTAGTATGTTATTTGAAGGAAAAAAAAAAGATACAATGCAGGTGGTCGATAAATGTTTGTTGGGCAAACGGATGAATGGACGATTGTAGTAAGAACAATCTATATGTATGTCAAAAAAGTACGTATTTTCCTGCATATATTGGAGGAAAAGAACAGAAAAACTAGTAACTTCAAGTACAGATAAACCATTTGGGGGCTTTTCCAGATTTAAATTTCACATTAACATCACTTTAATGTGACTTCTATGACAAGATATTTTATACTGTACATTCCTAAAACATGAGATCCAGAAAAATGATAATAATTTTAAACATCTCCACTAAAATGTCAAAGTTTCCTACTGCAAAAATCCAAGGACATCACTTTAAATTTGATCGAATGATACCATGTGATTGCTTCTGGAGGACAGGTTATCACAAATACGTAATATTTCAAAGCATGTGATATTAAAGTCCTCATTGTACACATGGAGTCTAATTCGCTTTGGTTTCAGGCTAACCTTCAAAGTATATAAATCTGTCACTTGGTTTAGCTTCATGACATTGTCTTTCTCCTTTGCAATGTTCTGAAAATATTTCATCTCAACTAGACCACGAACTCCTTATTCCTACTTATTTTGCCTCCTTCCCCAACCCCACTATGTGTTCTGATAAATACTCTCTACTAATTAATAGAATCTACCTTGTGGAAGGGAATCACTGTTTCCTTATTAATAATCTCTGCTCTCATTCACAGCCCCTATAATCTATTCCTCATCCAGTGCCAGGGGGACGCCTGTCAGACACAGGTGGGATTCTGCCACTACTCACCTTCAAACTCTCCAATGCTTTCCCATCACTCCTATTGTACAATTCCAAACTGTTAGCATGGTCTTTAAGACCGTGATATGACCTAGGGTCTAACCTCTTTGAATTTTCCTTCCTTCATGCTGCCCCATGCTCACCAGGCCCATGTCACTTGGTCTTTCAGTTCCTGTGTTGTGGCTCTTCCTTACACGTGGATACATTTTCACATGTCCACCTGGTCATCATTAAGGTTTCAACTCAAATGCCATCTCCTCCTGACCACAATGACAAAACCGTCTTCCTAATCCCCTCCTAACACAACACTGTATTTCACCTTCTTAACATTTACTTCTTAGTGTCTGAAACTTTCTAAGTACCAATTAGAAAATTTTCTAATCACCGGCCGGGTGTGGTGGCTCACGCCTGTAATCCCCAGCACTTTGGGAGACTGAAAAGGGCAGATCACGTGGTCAGGAGTTCAAGACGAGCCTGGTCAACATAGTGAAATCCCGTCTCAACTAAAAACACACAAAAAATTAGCCAGACATGGTGGCGGGCACCTGTAATCCCAGCTAGACAGGAGAGTTGCTTGAACCCAGGAGGCAGAGGTTGCAGTGAGCCGAGATCGCGCCATTGCACTCCAACCCGGGCGAAAGTGCAAGACTGCATCTCAAAAAATAAAAAAAAGGGACACTTTTCTAATTAACAATTTCCATGTCTCCTCCACTAGACTCCAAGCTCTCTAGTCCCAGCAAATAGACTGACCACCTGACTAAGTAAAATCAGTAGAAAGAGAAGAATGAGGATGTAAAGGCAATGGAAAGCGAACTTCCTCACCAATGTCAGAAATGTCACACATGCAGGAGCAGAGAGAGAGATGAGGGGCTGCTATGGTGCATCAAAATCTTTATTCCCATTAAAAATCTTACAAATGAAAACTCAAAAGGTTTCCATATGTAATTAGTAAACTCATAATCTAAGGTACATACGTGGTTATTTTAACAACACAGCCTGCGTTTAAGTATTGTACAAACAGTGCATTTTCACATGAAATCAGTTTCCCGACTGTCAGCCACATACATCAAATTAGGAATCACTTATCACCTAAATTGGTGGATGTTTCTGTATTTCAAATTTTGACTTTTCAAGTGCTTCTGCAACATGGTATTTCTCATCCAACAATCCTATGCTTCTATACACAGGGGATTTAACTTTTTAAATGCTCAAAAATCATTTCAAAAAAATTTTAGTATGACACACAGGAAAAAAGAAATCTTATGGCTGTGGATAGAAACAAAAGGAAAAGGGGAAAAAGCAAGAGTAGATCCAAGGGTGCAAGGTGAACACCTTGTCTGTCTCCTGAGCTTTTTCTTCAACTGTCCGTGTTGTCGGCATCAGGTACTTCTCCTTCACGGATAAAATATCCTTGAAAAGATGGTCTCCTTTTCTCTATTGTTTTAAACAATAGACATAATCAACAAATAAGACACATACATTACACCTATAGCAACACAAACATAAAACACTGACCCTGTGTGGGCCAATGACACACACCAAGAGAAGCGGCACATAATGGAAGGTGAAAGCCTTGGCATGGCATCAGACACCTCCAGAAAACACAACATTCTCGAATGGACTACTGAAATTTACATTTTTTATCATCTTCAGAAAAATCTGAAACTAAGAACTGAAGTTGTATCCAACTTCATAAGACTCTACCATGCATGTCTTAATATTTTCAAAAGTTCTGTGTTTCAGTTCAGCAATTCTTTTTGCTCATCTGTTCTTAAAGAGCTTTCTTTTTCAATGGCACAAACTTAGAAATTTAAAGCAACTAACAGCTTTTCTTTTTAAGGAAAGGTGAATAAAAATAGCAGTAGAATATCTAAATCAATGTCTACAATTTGGCGACATTCAAGTCAGACTTGATGCTGAAAGGAAAAAGATGAAATTGTAGGGTAACATCTTTATACCATTTTTTAAACTACAGATTAAATATAGTATGATCACTGTCTGCTCAAGTATGATAAATGAGCCCATGGAAGTTCTTGGTCAGTAAGAGGAGGGATTTGGAAGAATCATACAGGCACAGAGGCAGATGACAACGAATGGAGAAATATATTGAGAATATATCCTGAAGGCAATATGTACTCATACCAGTGGTGGGGAGAAGTAAACCATGAAAAGAAATAGAGTAAGTGAGGAGAAATGTTATGATTGAAAAACCATTTTAAAAACACAATTCTAACATTTCCTTACTAGGAAGTTTCAATATTAAGTTGTATTATGTATAATATTTTTCAAGTTTTCAACAGGGCTCATCAGTCTTTAAAGCTAAGTTAAACTCATTTTCCTCACAGTAATAACCTTAAACCACTCAAAGATAGTCTATAGTCCTTTATTTATTATTTATTTATATTAAGTAAATTTCCCTATTTCAGATATCAGTAACTAAAAAGCTTATTAAATATAGTATGTTAGTTTCTAAATTGTCCTATATAACAATTCATTACTACTACCAATTTACCTGAGTAAAATAGCGAAATTATCCTGAAACTACTTCAAAAGTATTTTGAAACTCATGCAATTTACCTAAGAACTAGGCCAATAACTATTACACTGTTAATAAATATTTAGTATTTAAAAAGTTGTTAGTAATTACATAAAATAATTAAATGGGAACATTTTATAACTTCCCTAGAATCAACATAGGAGATTAACAACATAAGTTTTATTGAACAACTGGAGTAAGACAGAGCCAACAAATAGCTAATGACATACCCCTTGTGTCTGTAGGGACAGAGGTGTGATACGTCGTTTTTCCCATTCATTAGGGCGCGGCTCAGGTGTGGATTCCATAAAATTGCGCTTGAGTTCACTAATGCTAGCCTGATGTTTCAGTATGTCCTCCTGGGCCTTATCCAGTTCCTAGCAATATGTAACGTAACAAAGGGGGGAAAAAATCCAAAAGGAAAAAACCCAGTAGGACAAAAATAAAACCAAAAAATAAAACAAAGCAAACTTATGATTTAAAAAAACCATAGTAAAGCAAGAAAAATGCCAAGTCTCTAAAGCCATATTATTATCTAGGAATAAGTTCATGAACTCATCAAAATTTGCAAATAAAGTCAATGCATACTTCTTCAATGATTTACATTTTAAAGGATTCTGATTTCTTCTCTGTTTAGGATTTTTAAAGGAATAATTATTTACATTATTAGGAAGATGACATGGAACTGATCATCAAAATGGCTAATAACACTTCCTTCCAGTACCTGGATTTGAAATTCAGACTATGACTTTGTTCCGGCAAATTTACCTTTCTGATTAGGACTACTCATAAAATTGCATCCTGTAAACATAGTAAATCAAGTACAAAATAGAGAAAGGTAGAGACTCAGAAGCACACTGGCTGGAAGAAAAAGCCAGACCAGACTCATCCCCCAACTGGAAAAGTCAAGGATTTTTTTGTGTGTTTGTTTTCAGGAAATTCCAGTGGTGGCTTTTAATTCCTAAGGAATAAAAACTACTGCTTCCAGAGGCTGCTTCTGTTTAGCCTCTTTATGAAAAAAAAATGAACCACAGACTGGTCTCACGTATTTGCCAAGCACAAAAGTGGGGTCTAGCCTCTGCAATTGCCAGATGGTCCTTATCCAGACAAATATGCAAGAAAAACTACCAGGTCCATTTTCATGGGAGAGGCCCCATTAAATGGTATTTGTGGAAATTTTTCTGACTGGCTCTGATAAATAGTATTTGTGGGAATAAAAGGTAATTAGTGTTCAGGAAATGGTTTTAACCAAATTTTAAATATTTATTTATATTTCAAAAATCATAGGGCCACCTGTGGATTATAGCTTTCATCCCACTTTAAGGAACAGGTCATGCAACCAATAAAATTAGATATTCCATATTCATGCACAAGCATAGTAGCTCATCTATGAGCTTCTATAGCCATTTGCAAAAACTCATGAAAATCTAAAAATCTTTGCATGGCATGGAAAAATGACTGTGGCTTGAGATCAGGCACATTTCTTGCATTGGTTCAAAGCAATGTTACTTATTACACTGTACAGCATTTTAGTAAGTTAAGCAAAAGTATATTTCCATCAGTTATCAAGCTGCCAAAAGCAACCAAACAGATTAGTCAGATTACTGAGAGCTGCAGTTCTCCATTGAATACATTGCCACATACTACTGTAAAATAAGAAGGGGGAAAAAATGTTCTCATGTGACATGGGGAACATATTTTACATCCCTAATTGGGTGATTGGGCTTTCTTTTCCTCCTTTCCTTCTCTCTCACTTTTGCTTGTTCTAATTAAAATAATTCCTTTAATTAGCATATTCTGAAACAGAATACTGAAAGTGGACCACATTCCCAATCACGGATTTTAACCAAAAAAAAACCAAAAAAAGTGGGCACAGATCAAGATCAAGAGTCAAATGACTCAATGCCAGATCAACACACAAATCTCTGTTCTGGTTAATATATATTAAGGATGAGACTGTGTTACTTCAGGCTGATGCCTTAGAGTTAACCCTTTAGGAGAGAATAGGTTTACTTGTAGAACAACTTCAAAAGTACTGGATAAAAACTTGATTCATTTGACTAAACTTTTTTTTTCCCACTTGTCACTTTGAGAACTTCTAGTAGATACAGTCCTGCCTAAGCCACCTGAAAGGAACACCGTCAGGCTGGTAACATGCACTCCCAAGTTGAATTCCCCCATGCACTGCATGCACCGTGCTCGAAGAACATTGCCGGCCAGCCTAGGCGTGACCTCCCGTCCACAGCAGCCGGGCAGCCATTATGACAGAGTTGTTTTCTTAGATTATACAAACCTCCAACATTAAATTGCTATGTCTGACATAAATATTATCCCCTTCTACTCTCAAGGAATTTTTCTGTGAAATTAAATCACACACAGGGGGGAAAAGGCAAATAAACATAAGTGTATCAATCAGCAAGCACCAAAATGACCCAGAGTTCGACAGTCTAAGACATTAAAATAAAAGAGGAATACAAATCTTATGAACTTAAAGCCACAACAAGCACAACTCACAAATAAACCCTGAGCGTGGACCCTCCCCCCACAATACTAAAGGCAGGCAGCAGCCATGAGATGTTTAACTTTAGGGAAAACTCAGCCACCTCTTCCAGCTGTGTTTCCTCTTCTTCCATCTTCGCCTGAAAAGTCACACAGCAAACGGCCAGAAAGAAGGGGAGTATTAGTGGAAACTCTACCATCAGTGCAAAGAAGTTGTATTTGAACTTAAATGGTGAACCAGTGTTACCAACCTTTATTGGGAGGCCCTCAGAAGATGCAGCATATTAAGCCACTTTGGTCTTTCTTCACCTACAGTGTTGTACCAATGATGGAAATGATCCTTTGCAAAGGTGGAATGGAGGATGGAAGCTTCACTCTTTCTCAGTCCCTAGATTATGCTCTGCTTTTGAATATTTTGTACTCAGGAACAAAAATATGAGAGTGCAAAAATGGCATAATTCAATCTGTTCTAATTTGAAATGTCTAAAGCAACTAGTGATGGGGTAAAGCATAATGATGTTAAATTTGTTTTTAGCTTTATATTGGTAAACAAATGTTCAACCTCTGATTCAGTTTGTTAAATATGAATTTCTTTCCTGGCTGGGGGTGGGGGATTGGCTTGTTTAACTAGTTTCATATTAAAATGGTGGGTATTAAAAATAATCTTTGAAATATAACCACTTACATAAAATTCTTTAAACAAGAACAGCTTTTCATAGTTGGACATTTCTCAATATCTGATGATTCAAAAGAATGAATGTAGAAGTTTAAAACTAACAAACACTGACTGAATTTTGACTCAATGGAAAAAATGGTGAGAATACAAATATTGACTCCCTTATCAAAGGCAAATCATTTAACCTTTACAGGTTAATTTCTAATATATATCCTTTTCCTTCTTTATTAGGATGATAGTGTTAAATCTGAGAGTTCAAAAGGCTTTCCTTTTTAACCACTCATAGTATTTTTCAGAGGTAAGCAAGGAGCTCAGAGTCTTTATCAGATGTGAAAAATGAGACATTCAATCATCTGTTAAGAAACATCTTCCAACTCCTTGGTCAACACTTAATTCCCTAAAATGTTGATCTTTGATATTCCTCAGGTAAACTTTTTAACAATTGTGGTTTCTCCTACAATGCACACTCACTGCATTATCTTTACATTTTTCTTTAGGTTTGCTCTAAATTTGTCATTTACTCTGTGTAGTGGTAGTGTCCACAGAATATGAGGCACTAAATCACCAGGCCACATTTAACAAAATAATCAAAAATATATTATACATGTTAATGCTGACTTAGTAGCACAGAGGTAGGATACTTGAAAAAAATTTGCCTTATATAGGGGTAAAAATCCTCAAACCAAACACCTATTTAAATAAAGGAGCACTAAGAGGCCCAATCTTAGTGTTATATAGTCTAAATATTCAAAAAAAGCCATGTGTCACTTTTCACATACATTTGTTAAAGACAACAGAATAGTACCTTCCTTATAAAATACCCTACAGTGACTCTTATATATAATTACATAATTTAAGGTTAGAAAAAAAAACTAGCTAAAATTCATCTGGTCTCCAAATACTACAATAATAGGGAGATAAGGAGCTTTTGATATGAGACTTACAAATATCAGGAGTAAAGGTTACAGATACATCCTCATAGATGCAAGAACACATTTGGGTTTCCAACAAGAGAAATAATAGTACTAAGGACTTCTACTAAGATACGTCAAGAACAGTTATGTCCACTGCATCCTAAGTTCTATATCAAAACAAAAATGTTCCATCCTAAAGGAACAGCATTAATATCTGTTTGCAAAATGGAGAGACCCTGTATGGATTGTTACGGGCAATACAGGTTCCCTCCTCCCCTACACCTTCTGTTACAAATCTAGTTTGAGCTAGATATTTGTAAAATAATCCTACAATTTTGCTCCAAACTTAGAATGTGTGGACCTGGTCAACGGTATCAATGAAGGAGAAGTGTCTACACTTATTTCTCATGCACTAAAACATTGTGTGTGTGAAAATATGCAGGTATTACTATGTTGAGGGTAATCAGTGGTGAAACGTATGCACACATTTACACTCTATGTTAGGAAGGGTTTAAGATAAAGTGTATTGTGTTGACTCCACAAACTGAACTTATGTGGGCATGCCAGCAACTACTTCCTCTTCCTCTAGTTTGTCATTCAAGTCACAGTCATAAGAAACATTAAAGGAGGCGGCTTTAGCCTCCAGACAGCAGAGGCATAGAGCCAGAGGAAGGGAAAAGGCAAGAGAAAAAGGAACTGACTGAGAAGCAGACAGAAGTAGCCCAAAGATGAGGATAAGGGAAGGAATGAATGAAGGGGAGGTGATTGGGACATAGTGCTGCACACCAGCGGGGAGGAAGGAGACCCAGACCTTGGGGAGGCTGGGGAAAGCAAGATATCCATCTTCATCAAGAAGGGAGGGGAAGCCAGAGGGAAAACATTTGGAGAAACTGAAGGAGAAGTAACCAAACTCAGAATCACTGTTGTCAGCTGCTTTAAGAGTCTTCCCATGGATGGGAGAAGGGCATTCAGGCTGAGAAGGGCCTATGGCAGAATCCAAGACCAAATCAGGCATAGCAACTTCAGAATCCCCCTGCTCGGATGTTTCACCTGTGGAAAGGTGCTCTAAGCTGTCTAGTGTGATCTGGTCAGCCTCCCCAAAGGGGTCTTCCTCTGAAATGTCTGAAAGCAAGTCCATTTCAGGGACAGGCAATAGGTTTGGGGAAAAAGATGAAGCACGGTGGATGAGAGGTGAAGGTGGGCATATGGAAACAGTCTATTCTCAAGTGCAAACCCATGATTGAATATGAAATTACACAACGGATACAACCAAAGGAAAAACAGATGCAAGAGAGAAAGAGGACAAAAGAAAAAATGAGTAGTTAGTGAAAACTTTTACTTTAAAGAAGGGATTATATTAACACAGTGTAGTTAGAAATGAATTAAATGACCCATTTTTAAAAAGACTAGACTACTTGTGTCACATAAAATTTATACATATTGACTCATTTAATTATTTTCAAACTGATTGCAAATAAATCCCATGAAACTCAAACAGCATTATTTACTTTTAAACCTGGTTGCTGACAGATACTCAAAGCATTAGCAAAAATACCAGTGTACCCAGTTGTTTGCTGAAGACAAGCAGGATTTCCTTTAAAATTTAAAAGATCTTTTTCATTGTTTAAGGAAAATAACAAGATATGTCAAGTTAACTAGGCAAAATGGAACAGAGATATTCTGAAATGCTGAGCTCTTCTGTTTCCGATGTAAGCAGTCACTCTCCTGGGTGCCTTGTTAGCAAAAATTTTAAAAAACTATCCTGACAACTTGTCAGCAATTGAAAGAAACCTTGTTGGACATAATTTCTGTTATTTTAAACTGAATTCCCAACCAAATCGTTTTTCCATATGACAGTCACAAATTCTTTAACAATGGAATGTTGATGATTTGATGTCACTTGCTATACAAGTAGCACTTGACCTTGTGGCACGAGACTGGGCCCATGTGGTGGTTGGTCTCTAAGACCTTCTCCATGCTGGGCCTCAGAGGCTATCAGAGCAGGAATACCTGAGGCACTGGCAGCCACATCATCTAGCAAGTCTTTATACATTTATGTCTTTAAAATTTTCAAAGTTAAAATTTAGAAAACACTATACAGCCGGGCTCAGTGTCTCACACACCTGCAATCCCAGCACTTTGGGAGACTGAGGCAGGTGGATCACTTGAGGTCAGGAGATCAAGATGAGCCTGACCAACATGGCGAAACCCTGTCTCTACTAAAAATACAAAATTAGCTGGGCATGGTGGCAGGCACCTGTAATCCCAGCTACTTAGGAGGCTGAGGCAGGAGAATTGCTTGAACCTGGGAGGCAGAGGTTGCAGTGAGCTGAGATCGAGCCATTGCACTCCAGCCTGGGCAACAAGAGGGAAACTCCATCTCAAAAAAATAAAAAATAAAATAAAATAGAAAACACTATGAATCAGTATGATGGATTCATTTGTTTTTATCTGTGCTTACTTCCAATGTTACATGCAAAAAAAAAAAAAAAGTCACTTTGTGCAGACACAGAAAAGAGATCTGAATTCAAAGGCTTCTCAAATCAATATTCAAGTGATGTTACTGCCCAAGGTAACAAAAGATAACAGTGACACATTTGAGAACACAATATGGGTTACTTCTCCATTTCACTATGGTGTACGCACAAGATAAAGCCAAAAGCAACACATCATATTCTCACTCTCTATTCACAAAACAATTACCCTTTCTTAAGAATTTCATTAATTATAGATTATTAATGAAAAATACCTTTGTTTATAAAGATTATCTTTGGTGATATCAAAAAATTCAGGTCAATAATTAAAATCATCAAGAAGCTACATTTTAAAATTTACTTGGACCAAATCAAAAATAAATTTCAAATAATCATAGCTTTTCTACTTTGGGGACTCAATTAGATAAGGTGATTATGAGGACAGTCAAAAAGGCCAGTAAATTACTTACTTGCATTAAAATAATTTACATTGAAATATTCTGCTTTGAACCACAATCAAATAAAGGTTAGAGACCACTATGCATATCTGAAAACAGAAATGACCAACAGAGAACATAGAACAACTGATTTTAAATACTTGATTTCTGAAACAGAAAATACAACAGATAGCCTCTAGGTTAAGTAAATGTTTAAAACCACAACCTGTGTGAATTTACCATACCTTTCCTTCAATGAGCTGTAAATGTGGGGCTTTAGCTGGGCTTCTCACTTCCCTCCTGCCGTCCCCATCTTGTACCACGGCAATGCTGACAACTCCAGGGCCATAGGCTGAAATCTCCCCAGCAGCATCAGGAAAATCCTTCATAAGACTTTGGTCCATGACACCAATCGGAGCTAGTAAAGAGTGACAATTCTGGATTATTTTAGGACATGTGAATCGTAAACTTTATGGAAAATTTTCCCCTTAAAGAGAGAAACAGGAAGCATATAAACAGTGAACAGGAATAGAGACATTGCTTGAAGTCTGAAAATACCTACCATATAAAATAAACAAATTTTTAAACGTTTACCAAATTCTGAAAGTATTCTGAGTTTTAATGCACTGAACTACACCAGGGTCTCAAATCACAGGTATTGGAAGGATATAGTCAGATCATGGAACTGGCCAGTAGGAGGAGCTCTAAGACCAGCTGAAACACCAGAGTTAAGGCAAACAGAATTACGAGGTAAGCAGTATTTTAACTCTTTGGTCTCCTCTGATTTATTTCTGAATCTATCTATTGCAACAAATGATTATGCAATTATTAAGATGACTTGCTCCAATAAGTTTTAAGAATTGCTCCATGAAGGAAACTTTAATTTGAATACTATTCAAAAGATAAAATAGTAAATAAAAGACAGTAAAGGTAAATTGTAAGGATTTTAACTTCTATATTTATATTTTTTATTTTTTAATCCCCTTCCTCAATGTCTCAACATGAACTATGGTAAGTCTATACATAGACACCTCCCTCATCCCAGAAAACCTGGCCCTCCTGTGCTCTCTTCTCTCCTAGAGATAGGCAGAAATGTATATTGTATTGAAAATTCTGTCATATTGCAGATCAAACCAAGACTACCTCAAACATTAGCAAGGCAGAGTAGTAGGTGGCAGGACTTCTGTCCATCTGTAGCTCCTCCCCAAACAACAGAACTACACAAGGTCATTTCACTTTACATAAAGAGTACTCTACAGACACCATGAAGTTTACTCTGCTTCCATGTCCCAAGGGAAGCCTGGTCAACACAAACACCTTTAGACTGCAAGCTCTAAGAGGGCAGGATTGTGTGTGAGCTACCATACTGAGCTTGAGAGGCCTCAAGCACTTTGAATACATGTATCCCAAAATACCTCTCAATCCACAGCCTTCACCTGCCCTGTCCAAAACTTAATTCTTTCCCAGTCCTGCTTTTTTCACAAAATGCTCTTCTCATATTTGCTCCCATTTGCTTGAACCGGGAACATGGACATCTTCCAGGACTCTACCTTCACCCCTTAACACCAACAAGTCCAACAAAGTCCTTGCATATATTTCTAAATGTGGCCAGTTCTTCCCATTTCTAATTCTACCACCTCACCTTGGGGAGATTTTCCCAGCCCTTAAATACTCATACTTGGAATGCCCATACCAAATCACAGTCAACATTAGAATAAATTTGCATTTTACATTAAGTATAGTTATTTTCCAGCAGTTTTGTTGTTGTTGTTGTTTTGTTTTTGAGACAGTCTCGCTCTGTCACCCAGGCTGGAGTGCAGTGGTGCGATCTCGGCTCACTGCAACCTCCGTTTCCTGGGTTCAAGAGATTCTCCTGCCTCAGCCTCCTGAGTAGCTGGGATTATAGGCACGCACCACCACGCCTGGCTAATTTTTTGTATTTTTAGTAGAGATGGGGCTTCACCATTTTGGTCAGACTGGTCTCAAACTCCTGACCTTGTGATCTGCCCTCCTCGGTCTCCCAAAGTGCTGCGGTTACAGGTGTGAGACACAGTGCCTGGCCTCCAGTGGTTTGTTTTCTAATAAAAAAAACTTCTAACAAGATTTAAATAATTTTCCCTTGGAAAGTATATGGCTATGATTAATCCTTTTGCTTACAATTATGATTTCTACACACCTATTATACATACTCGGAAATTTTGCAAAATGCAAAAATCTGACCTAGAAATGGCTTCAAATGTAATGCTATTAAAATATGAATATCAAATTAAAAGTTATTAAATAAAGTTGACAAAATGCTGACTTTGCATACTTTTAAATACTTATTAATTTCAGCATGCAGTTTCTTGTATTTTGGAGCCGATACATTTATTCAGGTCTTAAACATCTGAGAAGATTGTAGGCCCTGGCACAGAGCCCAAGATACCAAATGGCTAATTGGCCTACTCCCACAAAAGGGAAGACCACCATCACTTTCACCTGGGCCATTCCTAACCAGCCTGCCTGCTTCCTCGCTCAATCTAATTGCGCTCTTGCATCAAATGATTTTTTTAAACAAGATAACACTGTGCTCTTGTGTGCACATAAACCCACACAAACCCTTCAATGGTTTCCTAGAGCACATGGAATAAATAAAACCCACATTCTTCACCATGGCCTCCACGGCCCTGTATGACCTGACCCAGGCTTACCTCTCCCGCCACTTCCTAAGATCTGACTACACTTGCCTTCTTTCTGTTCCAGGACTGTATTCAGCTCTCCCTTGCCTTATAGCTTCATCGTTGCTGCCTCTGCTACCTGGAATGCTTTATTTTTAAATATCTCTTGTCCTTTCCTTGGCTGCCTCCTTCTCATCCTTCATGTCTCAACCCACCTGGTTCTTCCTCCGACAGGCCTTCCTTCGCTGATGATCCTATCTAAGTCATGTCCCTGTTCATTGTACTTTCCACCGTCAGGAAATCACTGGTTCCTCAACCCCCAAATGCATCTCGGTTGTTGGTTCTCTTAAATGACTGATTTGTCTTCTTTGGGGTTTGATTTTCTAATCTCGGAGGAGACGCCTTGTCCTAGAACAGGTGTTCTACATTGATTTTCATTTTGATATTTGATCTTTAGATTGAATCCCGGTTTTCACTTGCCATGTAATCGTGAGAGGATTTATTTTAATTTGCCAAACTTTAAAGTGAGGCTTATATACCTAAATCATTCTAGCCTCACTTATAAAGTAAACAGGAAAAGAAAATACAACACATGTCAACTACAACAACAAATGGTATGTTGATAAAGAGGGGCAAAGAAAATAAAGCTCAGTGCCAGGTTACAGCCTAGCTTTGCTTTGGGGGGAAAAAACGGAGAACATAAGCCCTAATCAAAGAGTTCACTGGCTGTCTGGTCATGTATTGGCATTAAAAGCCTCCTATTTTTCACAATAACACAATAATCCTTTTGATGACTTACCCATCTGATGAATTACGGTGTCCAAAACACAAAGGGAAAAATAATGGATTACTGTGCCATGTTTGTTGTTTTTACTTGTAAAAATCATTGTTTTCAGATACAGACCTCCTATAACCCTCTGCACTAACTGCCCATACAAGATGGTGGATTTCCTGGAGCACAGTTTGTATACCTCAAAGAAAATGCTGTTTTACTGCTCTTTTTAAACGCTAAACTTTGCAATATAAGAGTTATATAGCCTCATAGTTTCAAACAAATGCTGAAAACAGACAGTGTTCAGAAAGAGCAATGATTTCTCTCAGGGCACTAAACAACAGTGACTGCATTTATTCAGTACTTGTATAAATTCTCTGTGGCAAGGGGCAAGACTTGTGAAATATTTACATGGGTTGGCACATTTTTCAGATTTAGCTGGAAAAGGGCTCAGTTGTTGAAGAGCTAAAATGATACTTTAGCAGCTATAATACCTTAATAATTAACTGAATTTAAATCATTTCCACAATTTTGGAAATTTGTTTAAAGCACAGTTCACCATCCCCTTGTACATTTCAGGATTTAATAACTATATACCAAAATCCCAACCAACAAATCCTGGCAAATATCTCTATGTGTCCACCTGCATTTGTTTTCCAAGTTTTTTTCTAGGAAAAGCAGATGAAGGCAATGCATATGAATCCTTCACTATTAAGAAAGTTTTTTTTCCATCTGTTAGCATTATCTTGCCTGTTCTACTCTAATTATTTAAAATATAAGTTGTTCGAGTTTATATTTCAGAAAAATATAATAAACAAGAAAAAGGTTTCTGCTAATAAGTACTAAAATATAATTTTCAAATTTAGTATTATTATAAATCTATA